GGAAGTTCTCATCCAAGTTGCCTCCCTTGAGTCCTCCCACACCATCTGGAGTGCCTTGGCCACCATGTTCTCCGCTGTCTCGCTGTCTCGTGCCAACAATCTTCGCGCTGCACCCACCAATGCTCAGAAAGGCTCCATGTCTGCCTCTGCCTACTTTGGCCAGATGCGCTCTCTCTCCGACGAGCTCACCGCCGCGGGCAAACCCCTTGGCGACGGGGAACTCATCTCTTTCATTGTCGCCGGACTTGACATGGACTATCAACCCATTATCTCCGCTCTTGACGTCCGCACCGAGCCCATCACCGTCGACGGCCTCTTCTCCCTCGTGTCCAACTTCGATCAGCGCATGGAGATGTTTCACGGTGCTGGCAATGGCGGCTTCAAGTCCTCCGCCAACATCACCTCGCGGGGCCGTTCTGGTGGTGGAAACGGCGGCTACCGCAAAGAAGGGGGTGGTGGCTCTCGCGGCGGCGGCGGCGGCTATAACGCTGCTGCTGGTGGCTCCAGCGGCAGCGCTCCTGGCAGCTACTACATGGCGGGCGGTGGTGGCGGCCACCCCAACCCTAACTCTGGTGGCGGCTATGGCGCCCACCAGAACGGCGGGGGTCATCAGGGGGTTCTGGTGGAGGCGGCGGCTACTTTCACCAGAACCAGAACCCTTCTGGTGGTGGTGGCTACAATCGGCGCAACAACAACAACAATCGACGTCCCTTTCAAGGGTATGAAGGGTATGAAAACAAGTGTCAAATTTGCAAAAAAAAACAAACCATATTGCAAAAGACTGTGATTGGCGTTACGCCGATGATAAAAACTCCCAAAAAAAGAAAGTTGCAGCTGCAGCCGACGTGTCTTATGGCGTTAATACCAACTGGTATATGGACACGGGTGCCACCAACCACATCACAGGCTTGTTGGACAGACTGACTATGCATGAGAAATATCGTGGCCATGATCAAGTCTACACTACGGCAAATGGTGCAGGTATGGAGATAAGTCATGTTGGTCAGTCCTTTATCAAAACTCCACACAAAAATCTTACCATCAATGACATCCTATATGTTCCTAATGCCTCCAAAACATTGTTATCTGTTCATCGTATTGCTCTTGACAATAATGTGTTTCTAGAGTTTCATCCATTCTTCTTTTTGATCAAGGATCAGGTCACGAAGAAAATTCTCCATAGGGGTGTCTGTGTCGAAGGTCTCTATGCTTTGCTTCCCAAGTATTGCCAGAACAATAAACAAGTGTATGGTGCTATCAAGCTTTCTGCTGAGAGGTGGCACAATCGCTTAGGTCATCCTTCTTTTTCTACTGTTCATCAGATCCTTAGTAGAAATAAACTCCCAGTTGTTGGTGAGAGACACTTAGAAACCATTTGTGATTCATATCAACGAGCAAAAAGTCATCAATTGCCATATCCTGTGTCTACTAGTGTTTCCACTAAACCTTTGCAGCTTATTTTTTCTGATGTGTGGGGTCCTGCCCCCACCTCCGTTGGTAGACACTCCTACTATGTAAGCTTTATTGATGATTACACCAAGTACACATGGATATATCTCCTTAAGAAACGTGCTGATGTGTTCCAAGTTTTCCACAACTTTCAAGCTCTCGTTGAACGCAAACTTGATAGCAAAATTATTTCCGTACAGTCGGACTGGGGGGGGGTGAGTATGAGAAACTAAATTCTTTTTTTCGAAAGATAGGTATCTCGCACCACGTCTCTTGCTCACATGCGCACCAACAGAATGGCTCTGCTAAAGGCAAGCATAGGCACACCGTTGAAGTAGGACTTGCTCTTTTAGCGTCTGCTTCAATGCCACTAAAATTTTGGGACGAAGCCTTTCTCACTGCCGTGCATCTTATCAACATGTGGCCTAGTCGCACTATTTCCAACGAAACTCCCACTGAACGCCTCTTTCATGTCACACCAGATTACACCACACTTCGTGTTTTTGGGTGCGCCTGTTGGCCAAATCTTCGTCCCTACAACACCCGTAAGCTTAGTTTTCGGTCTAAGCAATGTGTTTTCCTTGGGTATAGTGCTCAGCATAAGGGGGTCAAGTGCTTAGATATTTCTACCGGACGTGACGTTGTGTTTGATGAAACTCAATTCCCTTTTACAAAACTCCATCCAAACGCCGGCGCCCTTCTCCACAAGGAAATTCTTCTCCTTCCTCCGCATCTATCCGGCGTTCCGTGTGAGGGTGATGATATTTGTACTAACCCAACTTTGACTAATCCATCACCTGTTGCACCTGAGTTTTGTATTTCAGCAGAAAATGGTGAAAAAAACACTGGTTCAGAAGCAACAGAGGAGGAAACAGGCGATCCAAAGGAATCTACATCGGGATCGGTGCCCTTGACTGCGTCAGCCCAGATCGTATCCTCCTCGGGATTGTCGCTGGGCCAGTCCCGCCCGGTCGCGTCACGCTCCCCCACCGCACCAGCTTCCCCATGTGCGCCGCACCAATCGGCTGCAGGGGGCAGCCTGACCCGGCAGCCTGCGCCAGACCCCCCAGGCGAGGCGCGCCAATCACCTGGCGAGGCCAGCCCGACCAGGCGGTACCCACCGGTCCCGCAGGTCTACTCCAGGCAGGCCCCTGCGACAGGCTCGGCTGGACGCGGCGCGGTTCCCGTGCCCGATCTGCCCGGATCTTCTGCGGCCGCCTCTGATGCTCCTTCCACTACAGCTGCCACAAAGGATCCCGTGTTGTTGAACGAATCTGCCTCGGGATCACCAGCACCGCGTCCGTCGCTGTCGCCCGGATCTTCTGCGGCTCCGCCGACACTGCCTCATACGCGTCTACAGACAGGCACTATTCCAACTATTAATTATAAAACTAAGTATGGTTTAGCTGCCTCCAGTGACTTCCCAGGTGAACCTCGCACTGTCACCGATGCTCTTGCTGATCCCCGTTGGAAACATGCTATGGATGAAGAATTTCGTGCACTGCAGAATAACAACACATGGCATCTTGTTCCTTATCATCCACGTTACAACATTATTGATTGTAAGTGGGTCTATCGCATCAAACGTCGATCAGATGGCACCATCGATCGCTACAAAGCCAGACTTGTTGCTAAGGGTTTTAAACAGAGGTATGGACTTGATTATGAGGATACTTTTAGTCCTGTTGTTAAAGCTGCTACTATTCGCCTTGTACTATCTGTTGCTGTGTCTAGAGGTTGGAGCCTCCGTCAGCTTGATGTTCAGAACGCGTTTCTCCATGGTGTTCTGGAAGAGGAAGTTTACATGAAACAACCTCCTGGGTATGAAAATAAACACAAACCGTCTCATGTTTGCAAACTTGATAAGTCCCTCTATGGTCTCAAGCAAGCTCCTCGAGCATGGTATTCACGGCTAGGTTCCAAACTGCTAGCTCTTGGATTTATTCCCTCCAAGTCAGATACATCACTGTTCATTTACAAGAAGTCACAGATTGTTATTTTTGTGCTCATTTATGTTGATGATATTATTGTCACAAGTTCCTCTGATGAGGCCATAACAGCGTTGTTGCAAGATTTGCATTCAGATTTTGCACTAAAGGATCTGGGAGATCTTCACTTCTTCCTTGGTATTGAAGTAAAGCGGAACAATGATGGTGGTCTTCATCTTTCTCAGGAAAAGTATGCGACTGATCTTTTGACCAAGGCTGGGATAAGAGATTGTAAACCTTCTCCAACTCCACTTTCCAGTACAGAAAGATTATCTCTCACCGAGGGTGCACTCTTGGATCAAGCTAATGGCACCAAGTACAGAAGTTTGGTTGGAGCACTTCAGTACTTAACACTTACACGACCTGACATTTCCTTTGCAGTTAATAAAGTGTGTCAGTTTTTGCATGCACCCACCTCAGCTCACTGGACTGCTGCTAAAAGGATTCTATGATATGTGAAGAATACATTGAGTGTTGGACTCACCTTCAGCAAGTCCTCCTCCACTCTTGTTAGTGCTTTTTCTAATTCTGACTGGGAAGGTTGCTTGGATGACAGATGGTCCACTGGGGGGTTTGCAGTTTTCTTTGGACCTAATCTTATCTCTTGGTGTGCCAAGAAGCAAGCAACAGTGTCATGGTCGAGTACTGAGGCAGAGTACAAAGCACTGGCTAATGCAACAGCTGAGATCATCTGGGTTAAGGCCATGCTAAAGGAACTTGGAATATATGCTCAAACACCGTGTCTTTGGTGTGATAACCTTGGTGCCACATATCTTTCTGCCAATCCCGTGTTTCATGCAAGGACAAAGCACATTGAAATTGATTATCATTTTGTAAGAGAAAGAGTTGCAAGCAAGGAGTTGGACATTAGATTCATTCCTTCAAAAGATCAGCTTGCAGATGGGTTCACAAAAGCTTTGGCCACAAGACAGTTTGAAGAATTCAAGCGTAATCTAAACTTGAGAAGTTCAGATTAAGGGAGGGTGTTAAACATATCTTGCGCCTCAAATATAGGAGATAGAGGCATGTTTTATTGTTATCTGTTTAAACTACTTTATCTCTTCTTCTCTATCTCCTAATGTATCTCCCTTCGGTTGGCAATCTCCACCTAATCCTGTAATCCCCTCGATTGTGTCAATATATGCATGCGGGCTCTCATGTATGAGGGTTGAGACGCTTCTATCATTCTCCACAGAGTGTGGTGTTGATGGGAGGGCATGTATGTAAATGACTATGACTCAAGTGCAGATTGTAGGTCTTCTCATTGTTAGTAAGAGCCACAAAGCACATTAGTAAAAACAGAACCACAATCCTCTCCAGAAAATAATAAGAAAACCACACCAATACATATATTATATCAAGTTTACAAGCATCATTTATTCATCACAATTACATATCATAACAGTAATAATAGTCAAACCTGAATCCACACGATAAAATGATAAAGTACAAATATATTGGCCAACATGATGTCCTATAGGGACGAATGTGAACAGAGCAACGTTTGTCCGTTATTATCAAATCCATATTCTTAGTTTTTCCCTTTTACTTCGGCGATTCCTTTTAGTTCTTTGGGTCCAGCGATTCGTTTTCGTCCTCCATACCATCAGCTGATGCTCCGCTGATGTTGCCCAAGCACTTTACGTGGAAATTATGGGTGCCACAGTCGTTCATGCCCTAGTGAAGGAAAGAAACGACATGTCAGGATCACTGGGTCGGGACATATATATGTTTGCTATGTAATGATAGGGGAGAAGTTGGGTGGTGGGACCGTGGGAGGGAGGTACCTGTTCCGCTGAAGAAGGGATCGCAGGGTTTTTGTCTTCACAAGTAAACCTGAATTTCTTTAAGTTGAAAGAGAGATATGAAATTACATTCAAATAATACACTTCAATTTTGAGTCGTGAGTAGAAAATATTGGTGACCAAGCTCACCCTGCCAAGATCCCCAAACGCAATGGTAACGTTAACGTCGCACGACATGACAGATGCTTCCATTGGAGCTCTACCATCACCGGAGGTAATGAAACTATCAATCCCCTTTAGGATGTTTTGTATTAAGCCATGGAATTTTTCGCGCAGTTGGATATAATCTGCATGTTGCGTATGGACGATTGTATTAGATTAACTATAGTATAGTATAAAAACAAGGTGCAACACTTAGCTGCAATAATATAGATAAAGAGGTTTCGGTGTGTACACTATGGGAGCGATCTCTTCGATTGTCCAAAACTAATATAGTGATGCTGAAATTGGAACCCATGCGAATTTCAGAATGTTTCCTACTTTTGGTGGAATGGCTTACTATTACTTGATCAAGAGGCAAAGGTGGATTTTCGATGACAATTTTATCCGACAAATCCTGGTCTTTCGGCAGAGTTGACTTATTAGGTTCAGTTCCCATTGCACCACCTTTGGCATATCCAGTAATTAATTAATGAACAAATTAATGTAAACACAAACTCTACAGGAGAGGTTATCCTCTTAAATTCAAGTAGGGAAAGTAACGGCTGAACCCCAGCTCGGTGCAGCCACGCTACACCAACGCAAAAAAACATATCAAAATATTTCAAAAAAGTGAAATTTTGTGGGAATGATTATGAACAAATGTTATAGATGGTTGCAAAATTTGGTGCTCAAATGACATCCGGGAGCTCTGCACACAAAAAATTACAAGTTGTGTTCAAACAGTGCACGTACATTTTGGGTAATTTTCAGTAAAAAAATTGTACAGAGCTCCTCGGATGTTATTTGACCACCTAACTTTGCAAGCATCTATAACATTTTCATCATAGTTCTTACAAAATTTCAGATCTTTTTGAAATATTTTGCTATGTTTTATTGCGTGGGTGTAGAGTGGGTGCACCGAGCTGGGGTGTAGAACAACCACTTCATCGAAGTATGCTTTAGTTCGACAATTTCGTATGACCCCAGAAGTCACAAAGCTATGGACCACTGCACCTTACACCACATTCAGAATTAGGCAGGAAAATAAACATTGAAGAGAATCAGTTTTATTGGCAAAACAAGCAACATGGACTTGATAGAAGGAAAATTTCTCTTAACCACGTTTTAATAGCAGGTAGGAACAACACTAACAATGGAAAAACAAATGAAAATCTGAATCCTTCGGGCGAGAGGGCCGTTTTAACATACCAAATATGATAAAATTTTGGGTCAACAGAAGTTTACATTACTTTGTATATTTGATTGATGATAGCAAACTAGCCACTTAGAAAACCCAACAAATATAATCAGGCATTAGCCATATGTAAAATAGAAGATATGGAACTATTTCAGTTTTCCAGATTTTCTCCGCTCAACCACATCCAAAAATTAGTATCCCCAATTTCACAGCGAAGCTAGCCTTCATCCTCATATATACCATGAAGTGCAACATGAGACGATTTGACACGGGTATATCTTTATGAACAATCTTGGGAAAACAAAGATGCTAGTTCTCATTATTTACTTACTTTTTGTGGAATGGCTCACTATATTACTTGTATTTATAGCTTTGCAACAGTACTATGTTTGCAAGATAAGCTATCTGCTATCAATAGAAACTATCAGTATGACGCACTCACCGGCAATCTCTGTTGTTGCTTCGTCTTCAGTATTACGAGTCACATCCTCGTCATTCGACGGAGTAAACTCATCAGGTTGGGCGCCTGCAGGTAACCATACCCAGTAATTAATGAAGGAAAAAAACGTGTGACTCGAACTCTGCTCGGGAGGTTACATCAAAGTATGCTTTAGTTCAACAATTTCATATGATCATCAGCCAAGACAATAGCATTGCGATAACAACAGTCTTTCCAAAATGAAGTACTTTACTAGAGCGATGTACGTTTTCCGCTACTTCAAATAGATATTATGCAGCAAGATGCATGATTCATGAAATTTAACCCTAGTAACGTACGAAAGTTGAGCAAGACACTTGTTGCAAATAATCTGATTCGAGAGAAGCATCTAGAAATTTACAGTACTACTTCTCACTATGAAGCAGTAGTGATCTAAACGCTCTTATATTAGTTTACAGAGGGAGTACAAACATTTTCCTCTTCGCCGGATATGAATTACTTACCTTTGGTTTCCCGTGTTGCTCGATTTGCACCTATACGCATCTGTGGCTTGCTAGGTGCACCGCTCAACATGGTCCTCTGAGTTAGTAACACTGGCACCTGTAGATCGACTGCGTTTGCTGGGAAGGGAGATACGGTGGTGTATATATATGAAGGCTTACTACGAGAACGGAGCAGTGGCTCAGTGGCTCAGTATATGTTTCTTTTTTCCTCTGAACGATGGTTATATGATGCTTAGAGGCCAAGTATGCTACTGTCAGGATTCACCTTTAGCCAATTTTCCGAGCAATTAATTTTTCTAACAACATAAATTCATTGTGGTGCACCTTTAGGCAAAGGAGATGATGAAGCTTTTGTCAGACTTTTTCCCTCGGACAGCCTCACCGTGTTTGCGCTTTCGATTGCACGCCAGACTTAAAAATCTATAGCCTAGATCAATGTGCCGAGGTGATTTCTCGGATGGTTCTCATCGTGAGCACTGGCTATGGGTAGTATTGATAGTCCAAGGCATCGGGAGACGGCCATGCGTACAGTGTGTGAGCCCACTCGCATGCACGCTCGATTGAAAACCAAAAGCAACATGAACCAAAGGCCGTTAGCTGCGGTCCCATCTTAGGTGCTCAAGTGGAAGTGTGCATCTAGCTTTATGGACAGTTTTGATGGTTAAGGGCATCTCCCACGGCGACCCGCAAATTTCCTCCCGCATCCGTTCGCCACAGATGCAGGAGGCCGCCGTCCAACACTGCCAGACTGTTTGCATACATTTAATTACTTTATGAACCAATTGGACGAAATTTGTGCAAACACGGCGAATTTCATGCCCGGTGTCCCGTTGATTGATTGTTATATATGGCGCAAGCGCAAGTTCTGGTCTATATGCGTGATACGCCTGTTGTTATTGGGAATTCGCCTAACGAGAGCTTGCCATGTTTAGATGCTATTCTAGTCGTTCTTAAGTTGACATGCCTGGAACTTATAATTTGTGGTTACGTTACTTGCGAGTACATTATTGTATTCACACCAGCGTTGTTATACCAGAATTTAGTCGAGGAACTCTGTAAAGAAGATGTCATTGGGATAGTGCGAGGATCCGTAGCCCAGGCAGATGCCTGTGGAGTGGAGCCGCTCAAGTTCGGTGCCTTAGTTTACGTCTTTTGTTGCAATATAAAGAACCATCGATTATCTTACGCTTGGTAATAACAAAAAATCATGCCAAGATGAGCCTGTGACCCATTTGTAGCCCTTTGGTCAAGTTTGTGTATTGATTATCATATTTTCGTGAATTAAATATGCATATCCACATATCATGGGGGGCAACCTTAGCCCAGTGGTGCAAAGGTGGGGATACATTGAGATTCTTCTGTTTGTGGGATCAAGAACCTACGAGTCCTATGATGGAGCGCCCGATCCCCATGATTTCTTGGAGAACTTACGCCCCAGGGATAAAAGCTACCGGGACAGATGCAAAGCTCCCCTTAGGGAAAGGTAGGGAGGCTGCCCTACCTTGACTTTTGAAAAAAAAACATTCTTATGCACGTGTTTTTTCTGAACAATTTGGGTGGTCGTACGTAAAAAAAGCGACTTTGTATGAGAAAGGTATGCTTGTTTTAGTAAACATTGCGCAAAATCGATCCAAAACCAAAAAAGACTAGATCTAGTCTAGTCGGAAACCAAGTCTTCCATTGCAATAGCCAATTCTGAATCTAACAAAATCAAACTGTAAACATGTCATGGGTGTGGTGTTTAAGGAGGCTTTGAGGGTACTTTGGGCGGCATATGGGGGAGTGGCCGAAACCAACTCTAGCTATGCAATAGATAACATTCTAAGGTTTTATTTTGGCTTGGTATATCTTGTGGGCAAAAATTATATTTCTATTAGCTCAGTCAATATCTTTTAGCACTGATTTTACCATTGCTTGGATGAGCTATCTTCAGAGTTGTTTGGAATTCTCTTGCCTTGACTCTAGAGAATCATTTTGTGATTTAGCTGGCATTGCTTTTACTAATGGTTAGGAAAACAGTTATACGCGACTTCTAGGCAACAAAGATCATCAAGACTGAGCTGCGCAGAAAGATGTTTGTGATGGCTTCCTGACGACTTGAGTAGAGTGTCATTCATATGTTTTTAGGTTTTCAAATGGCTTTATCAACAACATTATGGAGGATTTTCAAAAAATATATGAGTAGAACCAAAAACATATGAATGAAACTTTACTCTTTTATTGTGGTCTACTTTTTTATGTGCTGGCGAGAACTTTGGGAGGTAGTCCAGGAGCAGATGCAGATTGTGGTGTACATCAGCGGCATCTAGAAGATGGTGGGCCGTGTCCTGGGTTCATGGTTCGTGGATGACAGGTATGGTTTTCTCCTCCGATGTCTTAGTCGTGTGGCGGTGCCAGATCTGAAGTTTGATGACGTGTCTAGGGTGTTGCCTCGATTTGATTTGTTTCAACGGTAATGGTTTCGTCTATGACGAGCCACCTGGGAGGTGCGCAAAGTGGCATATCAGCAATGAAGTCAAGTCGACTCGGGTGTGGAGATGAACCATCATTTTTTTCTTTGGTGACTGCTGTGGTGGTGTCAGAGACAGGTGGTGGACTTCAGTGTCAAGCTTAGAGTATTTTTCTGTCTTGTTTGTAATTTTACTTGTTGGCTAGTTTTCCTTTATGCAAAGGCTAACATTTTGCTATCTTTTCAGTTTTGACAGGTCTATATGTACATGACTTGACTTGTACTCAGTGTGTGCAAAAAAAAGTATGCTACTGTACAGTGTGTGCACCCAGAAAGGTAAATATTGTCTAAGGTGTGGTGGCCTTCCTAACCTACTTTACAACACAAAGAACCAGAAATTATAGATTAGCTAATTCGAGACTCATGGTACTCGTGATTACGTCCTCTTTTGTACAAGCAATGTAAATTCATTGTGCTGCACCTTCCCGCGAAGGTGAGGATGAAGCCTTTTTCTACTTTTTCCCTCCCTCGGACAGCCATAGGTTACGTGTTAGCCCTTTGGTTTGCACGCCGGACTTAAAAACCAGGTAGATCAATGAGGCGTGCTGCTTTCTCGGATGGTTCTCATGATGCTGTGACATGCAGGTATTGATAGTACGTGCCGCTGGAAAGTTGAATCCTTTGCGGTCCGTGTCACTCAACTCATTATGTGCTTTCACCTTCTCTTTTTTGGTTAAGTATCTACTTCTTTAGACAACGCCTTCGCTCTTGTTTCCCTCGGGCGGCGGTACAATGTGAGTCCACTAGCATGCACGCTCGATTGAAAAACAAAAACGCACGATGCTGTAGAGGGCCAAATGAATGGATCATGTGAAAATTGGTTTACCTTGGGACCGCGGTCCTTTCGAGGGGTTGAAAATACATCTTGCTTTATAGTCAGTTTTGATGGTTAATGACAACCCATATGCTGATCTAATGCTTAAAATTAAGTGTAAGCATAATGTTTATTTTGACTCGAACGGCAGGTGCTCTGCCTTTTCATTTAAGAGTAGGAATATACATAAGAGGGGGTAGTCGTCAATATGATTACAAGGCAACTCTCAGAAAGTCCAAGTCAGCTTTGATTAGAGAAGCCACACCATCCGCCGAGGTAGACTTGCACTACAAGAAATATGTCAACTTGTGACCAGCACTATTGGTCACTGAATGGTCACTGTTTTCAATTTGTGACCTTTTTGTGACAAAAAACATAAGGTCAAAAGCTGGCGGTCATAAACTAACTATAGCGACCTTTCTTCTGGAATGGTCGTAGACGTTTATGACCAAAATACGTCTACTGTGGCGTTTTGGTCACTAGCAACCTCCTCAGGCCACGTAGGCATCCAGCGTGGCAATCTGATTTGGCACAAGATTCAGCCCGGTCCAATTCAATTTTCTACATGGGCCTAGCCCAACAATTCGGCCTTTTTACTGTATATTTTCTCTAGCTACATGGGCTATTTTTTCTAATAGTTTTGATTTCTACATTGGCCTGACCCAACAATTGGGCCTTTCGTTTTTGGGCCATGGCCTTTTTGGCTCAACAGTTACATTTCTTTTTTTAAGACATATCCAATAGTCAGATGGGTTTGAGTGGGTCCCAATGGTCAGAGTCATGTTCTTCAAATTTTGATTTTCTAGTAAATAAAAACAAATATTTAAATCAGAACTGACTGAAAACAGAAGTAATACTTCAACAACCAAATTTGGCACCTTACAATCAAACATACACCACGTTCATAATCGAACATACTTCACATCAGGTTTACAGCCACCAAGAACACAACTAAATATCAAAATATAACTATCTATCAGAGTATAACTAGCTCCAATGAGCTAGAACTCAATGCTTCTTCACTTCTTGGAGCCCACAACGAAACACGAATGAAGTACATCATCTGCAAGTTATCAAACAATATGGTAAGGAGCAAAATAAAGGCAAATCTAAAAGCACATTAACTTGTAGGCAGTCTGTGTGCATAAATAAAGTAAAACAAGCAAAATGAGGCATCGAAATCAGTGGATACAAGTAGTTACTATCAGCAGCAAGTAAATACTACTCCAATCACATCAGGTTTACAATCCTATAAATGCGACATTTTTATCATGTAAGCATAGAAGGACAAATTAAACATCATTTAGATGTTTGAAACAAAGAACCAAAATTTAACCGTTTGAACAGCAAAAAAATTGTTCCAATAGATCATATCCGGTTTAAATTAACTCCTTTGACACCAATATTATACAACATCAAAGAAGTATACATACTGATCGGGTTTAATTAGCACACAGAAGCCAAATACCAGTAACCGATGAAGAAAAAATCCTGATATACAAAGGTAAGCTCATTGTGCATTTTCCAATGTGATACACAATAAGCATAAGTAACCACCAAAATCTCTCAATACCGATCATTAACTAGAGACCTCCCGGGAGCCAAAGCCCTAACAGCCATGGCATCGAATAGAAGAGTTGGTGTGCAAAGAAAAAGCGATTACCTCTCAAGGGCCATAGACGGCAGCGATGACCCTGGTGTTGCCCATCTCGAACAGCGCCGACCCGTCGGCCCTGGAGAAGATGTC